GTCTGTCGTTGATAAAAAATACAACACAACTATTTTTTCCATAAAAATCATTTTTGTTGGTTAATATTGATGGGCACATAAATCTCTAGTCATTTATAAGTCCAAGTTAATAGACATACTGTGTGAGCTGAGTCTAGTCTATGGGCCTAAGTCATGTGACTCGGTCTGTCTTTGATAAAAAATACAACACAACTATTTTTTCCATAAACATCATTTTTGTTGGTTAATATTGATGGGCACATAAATCTCCAGTCATTTATAAGTCCAAGTCAATAGACATACTGCGTGAGCTGAGTCTAGTCTGTGAGCCTAAGTCCTGTGACTAGGTCTGTCTTTGATAAAAAATACAACACAACTATTTTTGCCATAAAAATCATTTTTGTTAACTAATATTGATGGGCACATTAATCTCGAGGCATTTATAAATTCGATTCAGTAGACATAGGAGAAGAAGAAGATTCATTGGTAATAAATAATTCAATAGGTTGCTATTGGCAATAAAAATCATTTGTGCTTACGAATATTGATGAGCACATAATTTTCCATGCATTTTTCGACTACTCCGCCCATCCAAAATTCCCGTTATGGCGTTTAATTGGTTTCGACGCTTTTCCCCCCCTCATTTTCCACTACCCCAGCATAGCAAAAAAATTTTGGATACCAAAAAAAGCACATAAATAGCACATAATTTAAGTGTTTTCAAAATGGCCGCCAAATCACTCGATTTCGCATAAATTTACGGAGGTGATATTGGACCACTCTATTAAGATTTTAAAGAATGGCCGCTGAGAGGCTCTTGCCGCATAGTAGTGACTTGAAAAAATATCCATTGACCGGTATATGGAATCATCAATTATGACGAGAATTTCCTAAACTCTTGAATCAAATTTTTATACAATATCCAGAACACCAGAACAACCAAAATTGGGCATGGAAATTTGGATCGCATGACTTCTAGAATTTGTTCAGATAAATATTGATATCATTTTTCAATGCTGAATTTAAATAATTTCGATGTTGTTGATAATTCGAGATGACAAATAATGGAATGGTTTTTTTGAATTGGTAACACCTTTCCAACAGTCAGGCAATCAATTCAAGGAAGAACATATTTGAATCCTCAAATATGTTCTTCATTGCTTTTCTGAACTTCCAAATGAGGCAAGAAAGAATGATGAACAATCAAAGTTCCGTTGAACGTTAATTGAGTTCTATAAAAATCTAAAAATAAGTCAAAAAATTTCAATAATTTATTTAATAAAATAAATCATTTTCAATCAAATCAAATTTCTGTTTTCAAATTAAACTATCCGTTAGGACTTGAAACCTTCAAAGAGGTCGACGAAAGCGGTGAAACATGTACCATCTCCATGGAATAATCTCACAATATTCCACAATTGACCCAATAGTAATTCACTCGCCATCCTCCCTCCTCCCCCATCACATAAAATGCCTAGATTCCCAATCCCAATTTACCCCCCCCCCCTCCCACTCCCTTCAACAAGTGTTCACAGAATCTCACTTTAATATAATCGACGAAGATAATATAAAACAAGAACTCAATGGTTGATTTGGGCCTACTAACGCCAACAGTTACACACTGAGTTGCCTTATAGTTTGCCCTCACCCACCGTCGCCGCCGACGCTCGACTCGGCCTTGAGGCGATTAAAAGTGTCCGAGACTTGTAGCGAACGGGTTCAGAAAACTCCGTGCTCCTCAAACCGTGGCCCGAGTAAAGAGACCCACAGCCGGATGGTGAAGATCGGTTAACTTTGTAATATAAGTGGTGGATTGGTTGATTCTCCTCGACGTTACGCTACGATTGGATACCACCCGTACATACTGGGATACTTGTTTTGTCAGTGTGCGGGGAAAATGTACGTAATGTACGTAAGCGTGGAGAGTGGAGGCACAGCTATTACGGACATTGACTTTGCTAAACCGGAATTTATCTAATCCTCATTCCGAGTTGCCCACAAATTACGATAATAAATTTAGTCATCTTGCGAATTCCTAAGTAAAACTGAATACATAGAAAAATTTGAACGATAGTTCTGAGATATCTGAAGAACAAAATTGTTATTCTGGACCGAATAAGATTATCATATGATTCAAATGTGAATTAATCTCATGCAATTGTTAACGAGTCTCATAGATTAATCACTCATCGAGGTGATTAATCGCCCACAATTTTCGCTCTACGACAACAATAATTTTGAAAAGCGTTGCAATTAGACCACTGGGATCGGCGAATTCGAAAGGTACCATTTTACGCTCCCACAATAATCGCCATACATGCGACATTGTTACGAAATGGATGTTAGCATAAAAATAGAAAAAAAACGACTAAAACAACACTTACATCACACGAGTTAGACAAATCGCTGCTCTCGTCGTCTGGAGTTGCAAGGGGAGCCACCGAGGGTGAACTCAAGCATTGCTCACGCACACTATCATTTTTAGTTGGATTATTAGCTTCGTCATTCTCTGCCAAGTCTTCGCCTTTCGTAAACACTTTATCTTCTTCAATAATTTCGCCTTTGTCCTTTGGTTCTTCCAGTAAAATTGGATCTGTTGTGGTTCTACAGAGGATCTCTTCATTAAACTGTTTGGAAGGCTCAATAATATCGTTCACTAAATCATTCGGGAACATTCCCACCTCCTCAATGACGTCATTTTTCTCTTCAACATCATTATTCTTAGATACGTGAAAATTTTGTTCTTTAATGATCTCTTTACGTTCCTCATCAATGAATTGGTCTTTCACCATATCCTGATCCCTCTCTCCTATCATCAAAGGTCCAAAGACACCGGCATCCTTCAAAATACCCGAGGATTTTCCCAGTAATTCTCCAGGCTCCAACAACTCAGTCTCAAACTCAAGAATGTCCCCATGGTTCTCTACATTTGCTTCACACTTTACCCCAAAAGCATCAGTCTGCAGTTCTTTCCGAACAGCAATTACTTTAAATACAGATGGAATACAATACGCCAAGTCTTCATATGTCAGCTCTCTATTGTCGTGAATAGAAAAATTATCAGTGATATGGTGAACCTGATCCACCCGGTCGACTTCATCCATCCACATGTCTCTTGCACTCTTCTTTCGCTCATCTGACTGATAAACTTCACCAACAAACTGCACTAGATTAAGTTCATCATTTTCAGGATCGGCGTCATGGGGTTTTCCACCATCAATTTCAGTTTCTAGCTCATACGGTTGAATTTTGTCAAATTGAGTGAAGTTGAAGTCCTGATTGCAATTGTCAGTGGATTGATGTGCCATTTCAAGTGGATCAACAGTTATTGACATATCTCTTTGAGGATTCTGGAGGATCATTTCATAATTCTCAAGGTCTAGAAGTGACTCTGTGGCACTGCCACTTGATTTTATCGTTGCTCCTCGGAGATCACTAGCAAATGCCTGATCTAAATCAGTATCAATCAGTTCTAGAAGTTCTTTTGTTTCTGTTGATCGAGAATCTGTGATATAGGGGCTACCGTGACCATTTCTATAAGTGTAGGGATCCTCTACGATGTTGTAATGGTTGATTTCTGCACCTATGAATTCTGCGTTGATGTCCAGCAAATCCTGACGAGGTTCAATGACGATCTTTTTGATTGAGATCGAAGGCTGGTCGTGATCTTCTTCAGGAGCCGGCATGTCAACTTCATTGGAAGGTTCTGAGCATATTCTAAGGGCTAACTCACTCTCGATAAGCTCTTGGAGACTCTTATCCTCGGGGGTTAACTCATTCTTTGTGTTGTTCGTTAGTATCAAATCGTCCTCGTCGTCACACAGGTTTAATAGCTGATTGTTACTTGGGGTTATATCGAGATCTATCAAACCGTTGTTAGATTTGACACTGCATACATCGCTTTTTGTACTTACTACGTTTGAAGATTTCTTCGAGAGTAACTCAGCCATTGCTGGGGGTGATGTGTGTGAAAATCTGAAAGCAGATAAGAAGACCGTTTGAGATGGCCATCAATATTGGATTTTGGTAATATTATGAAATTTCATGTAATTATTCAACCACCCATCAATCCTCACCAGGGTTGGGTCCATCACTGAAAATCGGAGTTTTCTACGGTACATAGTAGAATACTGGTTATTTTAGCTCTAAATGGTAGAAAAGGTAAATAACTGTTTAAAAAACCCTTAACCCGACTATCACTGTAGTAACCCTCGTGACTGAATTTTACGAGGGATTACACCCTACGAGGTTTATATCTAGCAAGCATCAAACGTCATGAGGGTCATATTTCGCATAGATCATGCCTCGCGAGGGTCAAATGTAGTAGAGGTCATATCTCGCAAGTTTCCTGCCTCGTGAGGGTCAAACGTCGCAACGGTCGTACATCACAAGGGGCCAACGTAATAATGTTCGGAGGTCGCAAGGATTATACCTAGCGAGGATTATGTCTCCCGTTAGACCCTTGACAATTTTCCTTCCTGCTCCTTTTGTTTGACTCTTATAATCGCTGGACCGTTGTGATTGTCTTTCCCGCCTCCCCGGATACCGCTTGTTATTGTTTGACCTTTGAAAAAGTTCTCTGCCTACCTCTCTTGTTTAACCGTTACAACATTTGACCCTTGTGAAATATAACCCTTGTGATGTTTGACCCTGGCAAGCATGCTGTTACCGACTCAACAACTGTGCTATTCTCAATCACGCACACACGCCGTCGAAGAGGCCTAAAACCTCCTTAGTAAATTACTGTTTTTTTTACATGTAGAAAACTTGCTAAAATACCAGTGGTATTTTACTTGCTCAACCCTGATTCTCACTGAGGATTGATGATTAACCAGATACACCTCGATTAACCAATAACTGAACATTCGTTATTTGTTACTGAACAATAATTTAATCATCTAATATGCATTATGTGCAAACGATATTGTCATCTCTGTTTCTGATAACTGCTTGGCTTTTTTGAGTGACTTGTAGTTATAGGTAACCTCAAATTAAAATTCGCTGCAAACCATATCTACTACGAAGAGTAACCTGGGAAAAGCTCAGTCGTTCAGTGTATCCCTCTGTCTAGAAATTCAGAGTGGGACAATGAGCCACGACACCAGGCTCAACGCTGCTTAGCTTAGATGTCTACTGGAGCAAAATGCTACTAGCCCCACTATTATCTCTAATCAATTTACTCACGTATATTTATTTATATTTTTTTTACATTTTTTTGAAGATCACTGCAATAAGTTCGAAAATTGAAAAATGTAGATTCTTTAAAGAGAAAGTTATATGTCAATTGACTCCTAAATTCCAGCAATTGTATACACTAGTAGAATTGGTCTTGCAAAGATTTTCAGCTATAATACCCCAAGAGCTTTAAAATTATCGCATATTTCTCGAATGTTTTGTTGCATAGCAACGAGAGGGATCAGTTTTGCAGATTAAAATCAGATTTGCAGGTCAAAATCAGCATTGAGGAAATTGTCAGTTGAATACCGCGTTGACTATATAATAGTACATTAGAGTACAAGGGCACAAATTTCGTTTTCAACGAATGTGTGTACAGACCTCGCCTTCGGCTCGGCCTGTAAACTACACATTCGTTGAAAACGAAATTTATTACCGAGTGCTCTATAATATTTTATGTCAAGTCATGCAGAAGTCGAGTTTTGAGCAAGCTGCGCGAAGCGCAGCGTGCGATAAACTCGACTTATTGCACGGCGCGACATAAAATAACAGTCGAATAGTGCAATTCTATTGGCTGAAATTTGGATGGGAAGAATTCTCGCCAAAACTCTAATAAAACATGGAATAAGCTTAGGAACAATTATCATATTTTTCTAATGTTCTGGTGAAAGTTGCTCAAAAGTCAATACTCTTCACAATTACGAAATTTAAGGGGTAATTTTTCATATAAATATTTTCTCTGTATCCTAGACATTTCTAATTTTACAGGCCGACGCTGTATTCAGAATGTAGTCACCCACATTGTCGTGAAAAATAGTTTTGTAGTATTCAAACTTTATACTATCCCATTGCACCTCACTATCCAATTTCACCCTATTGTTACGTATTTCCCAAATTTCCTCAACATTATTATATCTGCATTAGCCTTATAAAATGCCAAGGAATATCATCAAGTGTTTCATTATCAGTCAATTTTTCCATCAGATATCGCACTTTATCGAACATATCGATTCCGCCAATCTATTTGAGCCTCTCATTTTTCAATTTTATTTATAAACTATTTTGTCCCCACATTATGTGCGTTATTTTTCCTCCTAGGCTGCGGTTACGGAAACAGATACCCTGCAAAAGCCACGCGTCGTGGTGTTGACGCCTCTGGAATCGGAAGGATGCGCGGTTGCTTATGGTTATGCAAATGGAACGTTAAAGTGTCGGTTGCCCCCTCCCACTCTATATAAAACCTTCTACAGCACATCCCCTTAATGCATATTCTTTTGAAGCGTTCAATTTTCCAGACCAGATTTTATTCAATTAACATTTTCATTGCTCTTGAGACCCTTGATTTTCAAAAGAATCAGACATCAATGGAGTCCTATTTCGTACCTGTAATCTGCGAATTGATACTGTATATATAATTCCAGATAATGGGAAGAAACGAGGAAAAATGCTTTGCTATAATGAGAAAAATTTTCAATTACTTTTGGGGTATAAAAACACGATGGGGTTCTAATTTTTTTTAACAATCAATACGTCACATGTAATTTAATTCTGATTAGATGTTGAGGGAAACGTCTCGGCCGTTGTACAATTGATGGGATAACATTTTTCTTTTTTCCTTCTCATACTTGGAGTGCTCGCTTCGATAACTTCATGCGGATGCATAATGGATCACACCCGCTTCAATCGATCTGTAACACTAGCGATTTTTTATTTGAGAATGTATTAAAGATATTGAATAGTGAAACCAAATGATACGGAGAATTTGTTCCTCAATTGTTGGTCGCACGGTAAGAGAATCCCCGCACCGTGTATTTTACGATTTTGAGGAAAAATAAATTGAACAAAAAAAATTATTCCACGTTCATAGGTAATTTTGAACTTTCAATGAATGGGAAATGGGGGTATGGAGGCGAAATAGTTGTGAGATAATCCAAGAATTAGATTTGAAAAAGTGCAAAATTATGAAATTTCCAGGTTAAACATGATTTTAATAATTCATTAGTGTAAGTTTGGACCGAAAAAAACATGTAGATGTGTTGTGAAAAGAAACAAGCAGGGGTTCGAGCCTTTTTGATAGAAGTCAACTGACCATTTCTTTGTGTGTTATAACTCTTTTTCTTTTTAGTTCCGAATGTAAGCTTTTTTTCATTTCTACCGCTTCCATTGGTAGTAAGCTTTCAGATGGATCTGTACCAATTCTATTAAAAAACAAACAATTATGAACACATGGAGACCTCTACAATTTTGAAGTGAATAAATACATCTACACATGGAGTTATAAACTTCAAAAAAACATAACATCTTTATGTAAACATGACATTCCAAGTAATTATGATAAAAAATTCGATGATTAAAGAAAGCACGGTAATTACCGTAATACACGATTTTTCATCAAATGGTCCAAGAACTACTAAATTAAGCTCAAATTTTCTCTAGCTGCATGGCTAAATAGTATTGATCATTACCCAAAATTTTAGATCCTCAAATAAAGTTTCAAATACATTATAGCACATATGAGCAAGCTGAGCACATAAAAACAGAAAAATGGCAATATCTCAAAAACTCTCAATTAAACGCTACTCATATTTTGATTTGGTTAGATAGCCACCATTATAATTATAACGAATATTTAAAAAAAAATTGAAAAGTTGAAAAAATCACAATAAAACTCAATTTTCCATAGCGGGGTGATTAAATTTCCATGGCTCGAGATAGGTATCATCGTGACGAATATTTTGAAAAAAAAAATGAAATTGGTCCAGTCATTCCGGAGATATTTGCAAAAAACGATTTTTGAGAAATCGCTATATATCTCAGGAACTACTCAACCGATCGGGCTAAAATTTAGCACAGATTTGTGTTTCATTAGTTCCAACTATGAGCCAAAATTTCAGCATTTTTGTAATTACTTTTTCGGATTTATTAACACACCTCTGGACAAATAGGGCACATATTCCTACGACAGGGAAGGTGGCCAGTAAGGATTAGAAGAAGAATTCACGATTAACTGGATGAGAAAATCCACTAAACTTTGGAAAATATCGTGGCAATTCCGGCGAAAATTCTCGCTCGTAGAAGTTAAGAATATTCGAACTATTAAATGGAGAATTTTTCTGTTCATTTTTTTCCCTTTGTTTTTATTTCTTTTTCTCTTACATTTCGTTGAGATCCTTGAGGCGCTTGGAATCCCGGTGTACATCGGTCGCCACGTTACCCGACACATAAGCCCCCTATTATTAGATGTTAATGTCCGTCTGCTTTCACAGCGTAAAGCCCGTAGTGCCTAAGTTGAAAATGAAAATTCTGAATGAAATTGTGCAATTGAAATTTTGGGAAACTATATAGATCCATTACAGCCAAAAAAAGTGAATTTTTGGAGAAAATATAAAAAAGTTGAAAATAATTGAAAACGCTCGACCTAATAAATTTCAATAACGAGAGTTGCAATAATCTAATGATGTTTGGGGACTGCAGTATACACTCAAAAAAAAAATTTCTCACGAGTACCGGGCGGTACTTCGAGGAAGTTTATTTGTGGAAAGTGTGAAAAATACTTGTCCCAAGTACTTTTTCGGTCCTTGGATGGAGCACAACATCTGTGCATCAAGTAGGACAAGTACTGAGAGTATCTTCACTATTTTCTGCCAGTATTTTTGCTGTACTACACGCAGAGACACTTTCTTGATCATGCGTGGTACACATGATCAAGAATAATAAAACGTTCAAGTGGGAAAAAACCGAAGTGGAATTAATATGGACGATTTGAAGTAGAGCTTTTACCAATTGCGCGGTAGGCTACT